CGTAGCGCCGTCAGCTCCGCGGAGACGCCCAGCCAAGGCTGCGATCAGGTTTGTGCTCGTTTGGCGCATTGCTTGGATTGCTCAGCAAGGTTCTCCCGACAAAAGCGGCTCCGTCACAACACGATGACACGGCTGTCACAACTGGAAAGACACCTCTTGCCTGTCCAGCTGTGGCTTATAGGGGCTGAGTACGGCGAGAAAATAAAACCACTTTATAATCAGATCCTGGACAGGATAAGTGGAGCATCTTGCTGTGCAAATCACAGAAGTACAATGAACACGGAGAGGTTTAGTGGGTTTGTTTCACGGCAGCACTCCTCCAGCTCGTATTCCTTGGAGGAATTACTGACATGGTGCTGGAGAGACAAAGGAAGAGTGTTGTATTCCAGCAAGAGAACATTTCTTTAATCTCAGTGAATCTAAATGGCTTCTGAGGATTTTCCTTTCCCGAGATCCCTCTTTCTGAAGCTCCTGGCTCATGGCAGCGCTCCCATGCAGCCACGTCAGCCGCTCAGGCCCTCGGGACATGTTATGGGCCTACATTGGTTGACTGCAGGTCACGGGTCAGAGGTCTGGGTTTGTGGAGCAGGAGGCCCTGGGACCTGCTTGCCCAGCCAGCATGGGGCGACAGAAGGACGCAGTATGTTACACGCTGCTTGGGGCTTTGGGGCTCTCCTGCAGGAGCTGCCAGGAATTTCTTCAGCCAATAGTCTTAAATGCTGTTGCTGCCCAGCACAATGAGACAATTTTGGTAATGTCAGTGCCTGCAGTGGGGAAGGCAGCAGGTCTCCATCGCATTTGCAGAAAGAGTTGTGACGAGCTGGGACAAACGTGGTGATGACGACCTACTCCATCAGAGTCGCGCTCATGGAAGTTGCTCTCTGGTTTCTGCCTGTCCTGGGGTGATGTGTGAGCAGTGCTGTCCTGTAGTACCACGATATACCGTATCGACGTGAGAAGAGCCTGAGTGCGCTCTAGGGAGATGCTTGTTGTCACGCTCTGTCCAGGGCCGGATCCGTGTGACAGAGCAAATCCCTGAAGCCAGCACAACCAAATTGCCATGTGGGCTTTCCAGCTCCAAAGCTGCATTTCATAGGGCACAAAATCGAACATCCCAGATCTGGCATGAGACGGACTGAAATAAGAGGGTTTGCGAACAATTCTCCCCTCTCTCCCTTGGGGCACTGTGTTTTCTTCCAATCTTGTTCCCAGCCCAGCAGATTTTGTTGAGTTTTGGCTGCCGTCCCTGGCGTGCCTAGGAGGAGCCTGATTTTCTGTCCCCGTGCTGCGTGGGCACCAGTGACTCCCAGGAGCTGGCCGTTCTCTGGCTCGCTGCCGGCTGCCCAGTTGCCAATGCCACCATGTGCTCCAGATGTTTCTCCCAGTCCAGATGTCTTCCTCCTTCCCTCCAGGACCTCTACCTGATTTGAAAAGCAGCAGCTGGGGGGAACGGAGCTGCGGTTTCCCTCCTGTTGCCAGCCACTTGTTTGTAAACCGTCCACACCATCAACCGCGAACAAACGGTAAAACAGAAACACTCCTCAGTGGGTGCTGATTACGGGGCTTTGCATCTGCCTACATGCCTGCTTGTTTGCCGTTGATATTTCGGTCATGTTGCTATTTGAGATTCAGTCTTTTTATTTCCAAGAGAGAAAATAAGTTCAGCAACAACTCTGCTCACAACATCAAGCAAAGAGCCTTTTTTTTCCGCCCCTCTAAGGTTTATATCTTTTCAGAACTTTGCAAAATAAATGCTTACAGATCATATCACTTTCTGTCAGGAGGTTGACACAGGAAAAAACAGAGCTAATTTGGAGTTTGCAGGCTGGTTTTTGTGGTGAGTTACACTATAGCTGACTTCAATCTCGAAGTCTGACTGTAGCATTATAGCTTTTAGAGGAACCAGGTAGCTGTCAAATATATTTGCAGCTGAGCATGCTTTGTAAATTTAAAGTTTTGTCCTGTGCTCTTTCTGGGCTAGACAAGAAGTCAATACAATAACGCTTTCAGTTTGATTTTCAGCAGATGTAAGAGTTTAGAAGCTGATACGTATTAGCGGTATTGGTACTTCATAGTCTGTTTAAAGCTAATTTAGGATAGATTAAGAATAAAGTCTTCTAATTAAAGCTGAGAGCAGTATGAAAAATTACAGTTAGGAAAAATGGGAATGAAACTCTTGTCTTCCAGAGTGCAAAATGATCTATAATATACTTTTTTTAACATTCCTATTACACTGCTTGAGCTGATGGATTTTCTAACATTTATGTTGAGAGATAATTTTCTAGTTCAGCACTGTGACTACCTCCATAGTTACGTGTATGGGAGAAAAATAAAGCTATTTTAATTCCAGGTAAAAACACCATCCTTAAATAATGCAGATACTTTTTCTCAAACTTGTTCCAGATATTGCCTCAGGAGCTGAAACTTCCTCTTTGAATATTGTTAGGAAACTAATTAAATCTCAAAGATGCAAGTAGAGGTATAAAATATATATGAAAATCATGTGGCAAGCCAGACTTTTAACAGAGAAGTTGCACAGTGTATCATCATTCCAGTTTATCATTGTCCCATAGAGCATTTTCTCTAAACTATCTTCATTTATCTTCGGTTTTGAACTAGAAACCCAAACAAAGCAATTTCATGCTTGTGTAAAATTTTAAAATATACCTATTTTAATGACACAAAACCAAATAGTTTTTACCCTTTTTTTTTAAATGGTGGAATCAAATAAAAGATTTTCAAAAGAAATACAAGTATTCATACTTGCACTTTGCGTATAAAAAATGTCTTTCTCTGTCAATCTTTAACAAAGAACGGATGAGTGCAACGAAACTGGTTCAATGTGCGGCTGAATGTTGGGATAAAAGAAAAGAAGAGTTTTGCTTTCTTTTTCTTAAAAGCATCAATATACTTTCTGCATTACTGAGTCTTGTTCAGTAGCCATAGGACTGTGGTGTCCCTTGGAGGGAAGGAGGTTTGGAAGACAGCAAAGGTGGGATTAATACAGCGCTGCTACCTTGCGGTCCTAACCTGGCTTGCTCCCTGACCTTGGAAAAGCTGTATATTTTCCAGCCCCGGTAATGTGAGTCCTGAAGCTCCCCTGCTATATGGCAGGGCTGTAGAGGACACAGTTGACACACAGCAGCTGGGTTTCCAACATGTCTTAGTTGACAGCAGTGCACTGCTGGGGCGGTTGGTTTTATTTTGCACTTAAATGCTCTGTGAGCATTTGAGGAGCTCTGACTCTCCTGAACCACAGTCCATGTTGGATGAGGCAGAGCACAGATGCCTTGCAAGGTGCAACATCTGATCACCAGGGATCGCGGCAGCTAAATAACCAGGATTTCTTCCGTAGCTTGGGGTCAAAGTCACTGGTGCTCTCCAGAGGCTTTGCACTGCTCCAGTAACGCAAAGCAGCCATAAACTTGGGTTAGCGCAGAGACGCTAGGTTTATGCTGCTTTGCATCACAGGCTGGAGCATACCAATGAACCTGGCGCTATGAAGCAATTAGAGAGTTATCACTACCTGTCTGCTTCCAGGTGAAGTGTCACCAAAACCACATAAAGGTTTTCATTACCCGGAGCAAAATTCACTGTGGTTCAGGGAGCCTGTTACAAGAACCAGCACGAGCTGAGTGAGCATCTCAGGGAGGGCTGTGCTCAAGTGACCTCAAGGCATAAATGATATAAATATTGTGTAATGTCTGTCTTTGTAAAGGTGAGTTTTGCACTTCCAAGCACAGCGCATGTGGCAACAGTCTGGGAAAATGGAAGCTCCTGTGGCAAGAGTCAAGCAGTGAAAACTCACTTAAAGTTAGCCATAATGGAGTCAAAGTGTGATTCCAACATGGATCATTAAAATAAATCCCATTGGCTCAGGGGTCCATGTGAATTACTTATTGGATATGAATCAGGAGACAATAAGAGCATTTAGGTGGTCAGCATCCTCTTAAAAAATCAATTGTATTGATATTCGATGCATTTTTTCCAGATTAACTCATAAATCTGAATCAATTTATTTCCTCCCCCAAATAAATAAAAAATATAGAAATAGCAATTCTCAAGAAGTCACAAATTGGAAATTTGTTATGTTTCATTCAGAAGATGATTTATGTCATGAACAAAGTGGTTTCCAGTGGAAAAACAAATCAACTCCTTTTCTATACCAAAGACTTGCAAGAGCTTTCATTATAGAAATGAAATAGAGAAAATATTGGCCAACCATTGGAAACATATCTGTAGTTCTCTCTCTGTCTCTGAGTTTAACGCACATGTGTATGTGGGGCTGGGGCCGCTACACTCGTGCACTGGCCTACTGAGCATTCACAACACCACATGTTTGCATAAGTCTCTAGAAAACAGTTGCATAATTGTATTTACCAAGTTTTCTTGTAAAGAGCAGTTTTCCTGTCTGAGAAAAAGTTTTTCATTACAAAAGGTCTAAGTAAATGCAATCATGTTTTCAGAATTTATTACTTCTCAGGGAAAACATTTTATTAGGACTCTTATTCCGTTAAAAATGTTGAATAGGAATTCTGAGAGAGTTGTGTTTGTTTTCTGAAGCGTGCTTAATTTAAGCTTAACCGTTGGCCACGACTTCTTCATTACCATTCTCAGTAATGGGCTTGCATACATTAACATTCATTTCTATGTCCCAAAGAAGACTCAGAAAAAATAAGCGTTGCATTAAATACCCCATTTTCTCCAAGAAGAAAAAGTTATAGCCAATTAAGGATGCAAGCTCCCTGTTCCCAGTGATATTAGAGGGCTGAGAAGATGGGAAAACGCTTTGTATTTGATATATTCCCTCAAGTAACTTGCCATTTCTCAGTTTTGTTTCTCTCTATGCATAACCTGAAAGCAACTTAATTTTTTAATTCAATTTGTAGTCAGCTAATTACTTCTGCAGAAGAATAGCTAACGCATGTAAAGGGGAAGGTCTTTGAAGTCTCTGGTGGGAAAGTTCAAGTATTACCGATTAACTCAGGAGCGTGGGGTTGCGCTGTGCACTGCAGCTGGCGGCGAGCACAGCTCACAGCCTCCTGCCTCTGGAAAGCTTGGAGACAAAACCACAACCTTCACCAATGCAGCATCCATGTACACACAGCGCACGGGACCACCGCAATTGATTCTAGAAGATTTTCCTTCTAAGCCAGCATGTGCTCGGGTGAGGCATATTCTGATACCCCATAGGATTTGGGAAGGTTTAAGACTGCAGGGTGGCATCCAAGAACGGAGGTGCTGTCGTGGGGAGAGGCTGGAGAGCTGGGGTATGCCGCAGCGTGGTTTTGTGTTAGCTGAGAGCGAGGCCTGGAGAAGAACTGCCCTGGCCCCCTCCTGTGTGCCAGGAACTTCTTTCCTAATTTGGCCCACATCCTTGCTCTGAAACGTCAACAGGCTTTTCTGACATCAAACTGGAGGTCCGTGAATCCGCATTACTTCCATGAATTTTAGTGGCACTCCCCTGATCTGCTCCTGCTAGACTAGCCTCTAAACTTAGACTCAGAAGGTGTCCTTGGCCTGTCTGCAGGATGAGCTGGGGAAGGACTATAAAGCACAAAAAAACCCATGGGATTTTGTGTCTCCAGCTCCCAGTGGGCATAGAGTCACAGAATTTCCTGATTCCTCTGACACCTGGTTCCTGGAGCGTTTCTGAGTAGAGTTTGAAGAGTAAGCTTAGCTGAGGGCAATGTCACCTGATGTACCTTACATGAGATGCTCTCTCCTTGGCACTGACCCCTTGGAAACCTCTCATTTTTGCCATAAACGAGATTTTCCATCTCCTAGTCTTTGCTGAGTTAGTTAGTTCAGGGAGTATTTGAGTCCAGAAAAAAGGCAGCCTGTTGGTGGGCTCATTGCCACTATGGTCAATAAGTCCGGGATAGCGAGTTGGGAACAGGAGAGCAGGGTTTCGTTTCCACTTCTGCCTTTGATTCAGAGCTCTTCTGCCCTAAGAGCTCTCGGGAGCTCTTAGCATCTCACTTTCTTCAGTTGTAAAATATGGGTCTGCTGCCTTGCGGTGTGCTTTGAGTTACACCAGGGAAAAGTGCCACTTCTGTGCGAAGCTGCCCAGAGAAGCAGTCACACATATCAGTAACAAGATGAACCTCAAGTTGTCTGTGTGCACGTAAAGATATACCAAAGGCAATGGGAAAGGCTAAGAAGGTGGATTTGCTTTGGATTTATGTTATTCGCACACAGATCTCACAGTGTATTTCTTTTTCCTTTTATTGTTTTCTTATCTGGGATTACTATATCCCAAGTAGACTGGGACTGGGTTAAATAATCTCATTTGGAAGGGATGAAAATCTATTAGGCTTCAACAAAATAAGCCAGCAAAATAGTCAGCCTTCAGAAGAGAGCTGCAGCCTTTAAAATCGGCCTTTACAAGAGAGATTTGGGTTCAGACAAGGGAATGCGGTATTAGGAGGCAAATTCAAAAGTATAATACTAAATACACCAAATCAGAGTTGCTTTGAAGAGTATGTGAATGTGCATAACGGTCAGACCTTAAACTTGGTTTGCAGAACAAGCTGGGGGATTGAAAGAGACTTAAAAAGAGAGCAACTTAGAGCAAAAGGTCAGACCCCTGGGCTTAGCAATGAGCAAAGAGACCTGAGGTGAGGAAAAGCACGAGCTGAGGTTGCCCAAGACCAGCTAGGGCTAGACGTGACGCACTGCAGGGGGAATTATTAAAGAGGGCAGAGAGGAGTGTCTAGCATAAAAGCGGCTGATGGGAACGAGCGCGCGAGAGCTGCTCTTTCAAAGGGATCCAGAACCTCATTCGGAGTGGTGAGAGAGTTACTAAAAGTCTGTATATAAGAAGAACAGAAGAACAGATGGAGAAAATCCTTTAATCCAATAAAAACAGAGCAAGGGAGTATGCTTAAGCCACTGTGAACTGCTATAAATCTGTTTCTGTACATTAATGGCATAGCTGTATAGCGGGCTGAACTTTGGTGCGGAGGAAGGTGGGATACATGGAGAGGTGACAACAGTAGTTGTGCATAAGAAACACACTTGATATGGAGTAGAAATCCCTGTTTTGCAGTGAAAATGAGGAAAAATGCATGGATTATGTGGGCTCCTGCCTGACTGAGTAGAGCTCTGGAGCAGTCTCTGGTTTGTGAAACTGCTGCAATTTCCGAGGTCCTCTCCTACTGCTGGCCTCCTCTTGCGCGCTGCAACAGAAAGCTGTCCTGCTGCTGCCCAGGGGCACCAGAAATGCTACCTGCTTTCCCATGAGGATACTATTAAGGGTATTCATGAATCAAATATTCCTATGTTTGAAATCAGCAGTACTCTGAAGTCTTGAAAGGTACATGCAGGACCAGCAGTGCACTTGGAAGCTGATGGAGATGCATCCCGTGAAGTCCCTGCTCAGCAATGTAGATGCAAGGCGTTCAGCTGGGCTGAAACTCCTGCACAGATCCCAAAGGCAAGTATCTTTTTCAAGCTTTCTTATTGCTGCTCTTAACACATAGAACATTGTTTTTGTTTTGTCTTTTAATTTCAAATGAAACACTTCTGTAACATGTCCAGCCAGAGACTGCAAGCATCTGGGTCCCTTCAGCACTTGAGACCTCTCTGAAGTGGAATCGTGCTTGGAGAAGTGGTGCTGCAGCCTCGCGAAGCGATCGCAGCGGGCTCTGACTTACCGCCACGCCGGGAGGGCAGATTTCAAGATAAGGAGCAACTGCAGCAGCAGCCAATCCGATAAAAACAGCCTGCGGTTGAGTTTCCTGTGCCACGAGGCACAAGCTAAAGCCTGAAGTCCCAAGGTGGGTTAATTTTTAAGCGTTGCTCCAATATCAGCTGTACACATCTGTTTACAGCAAACAGCGTTGTATCGCTACATAGGCAAAATGACTTGTCATCTCTGCTTTCCTTAGGGCCAGTCTTCACTGAAGGGACCTCCTTTCCGTGTAACTGAAGTCTTACAGAGATTTGTAGTTACAATCCTGCCATTGTAACTGGGATTACTGGCTCAAAACCGCCGCCCGCGCCCGCCCCCGTGGCCCCCCAGCAGCCGGCCGGCATCCCCATGGCTTGCAGCCAGCCCTTCCCTGCTTTGCTGGGATGCTGGAAAAGAAAGGCAGGAGGTCGGAATGACTCGCCAAAGGACCTCGCACGGTTTCTGCCCTGGGTTTGCACGACGTTCGCGCCCACCCTCCGGCTGCCAGCGAGCAAAGCAAGCCGGAAAGGGAGGCATCGAGTCGCAGGGCGCCAGCCAAGCCAGCGCCTCGCAGGCTTGTGCGTTCAGAGTGGACAGAGGGATTTTGCTCTCCCCTTTTTTATAAAAACCGCCCCAAATGCAGACAAATAATGTTCAGCTGCAAAATGACTGTAATGAAACCCTAGCAGTAGAGACTCGTGCCAGTAGTCTTGTAAAATCACGCTAACTTTTAAACGTACACCTGAAAAAGAAATATTCAAAGTAGGACCTAAAACCTGTTCTTTTTACAGACAGCATACGGCAACTTTTCAACATTTAAATTTCCTCTAAATCATAGGAAAGCTACAGTGTGACTTAGATATAAATCCGCAACTGATAAATTAAAGGTATTAAAATCAGTCAGAACAGAAATGCATCCAGCATGTCTTAACCGAACCAGCTTTGTCTGCACAGCAGGGCTCTCCATCTAATTTGAAAAATAAGACTATTCGAAAAAAACACTACTGGAAAGTGGAAGGTATGACAAAATTAACCTTCCATCTTTAAATCAGTGTAGGCTCCCTTTCAGGCCGAGGAAGAAGCACCTACATCAGCGACTCCTCACCGGCGCAGGCACTGGGAGCCGTCCAAACCTTACTGCTTAAGGCAGTCCCGAAAACATAAATCACAGCTAGGAGCCTGATTTGTGAAGTTATCATATTAAGCACGGAAGTACCAGTGATAAAGCTGCAGTCGCAACCCAGACCCTGCCCCTTTTACAAACGAATTACAAGAGCCATTTAGAGCCCACCCTCTTCCCCTGGTAATAACAAAGACCCCAAACAGCGCCGGAGCCCCTTGAACCAAGGCGCCAAAAGCTTTAGGGATTGGGTCAATGAAGGTGCTCTGATACTTTCATCGCTGAGTATCAGTTTCTCACTCGCTGTGTTATGAGGCACTAATTCCAGCTAAAAGACACTGACAGAATTAAATGTCAGCAGAAAATCTGTAGCTCTGCAATATAAAACTTGGAAAAAATCGATGCACCCAATACAATGGGAGAAACAGAGGAAACCATCTGAATCTATGATGAAGTCCAGACATCAGCCAAAAACTGGGGATTTCCGTGCCTTTTGTGCTGTTTCATGCTGGTACAAGGTTTCCTGACCAGGAATATGCCTGATATTTAGTGCAGAACTGCAAGAAAATCGTGTTATGTAGGGTCCCTTCCTGGGTGATATCAGGCTTTGTGGTGTGTGGGAGAGCCCCCTGTGCCGGGCTTTGGGGCTGTTTTGGGGCATAGCCCAAACAACCCTGAAACCAAACCCAATGCAATGCACTCATAGGACTAAGGCTCCGGGACGTGCTGCTGACCCCGTGGCTGCTCCCACTTTGCACTGGCTTTTGGGTCCGGTGAGACTTGTTGTGTCTGCTGCACGGCGTGTCCCGGTGGCATTTCCCCCCCAAAGTCACCGCCACTGCCCTTCTGGCCACCGCTCTGATTTTAGCGCATGTTGATTTGACAGTTAGCCAGGTGAGTTACATAAAAAGAGGAGTGAAATTAGAGTAATAAATGTGATCCTTAGAAGATTTTGAATTCCCGGAGCCAAATTTCTTGCTGTTATAACTTGGGCTAGGTGAACAAGGATGAATGTGAGCCATGCAAAAATATTTCTGATGAAAAATGCGGGCTTGATAATTTTAAGTCAAATTTACCTAATTGCTTGTTTGGAAACAAAACTCAGCCAGTTTCAAAAACGTCAGAAAAGTGTTAATATTTTAACAAAAATGATTGTTATTTTTCGTTCTGAAAGATTTCCATTGAAAAACAAGCCTGCATTGTTACTGAAAGTAAACAAGAGAAATAGAGACTAGATGGACTCGATGGTCTCCAGAGGTCCCTTCGAACCTCAGCCATTCTCTGATTCTGTGAAATGTTTACAAATGGTTGAAGTCCATATGAAGTTTGGGACAGAACATGCTCATTCAACCCATCAAACAACTGCAAAATTCATTATTCTTCCACCCCTCTCTTTTATTTCAGTCTGGTAGCTATGAAATAATGCACAGAATAAAATTAGATCCTCATATACATACACGTAGCCACTCGGCTCCGTCAGCCCCTTGGGGACTACGTATAAATGAGGATATGGTGATTTAATGTTCACTGATGTACGAGGCCCAGATTTTTACACGCTACAGGAGTAGTGGAAAAATATTTCAAATGTGGTTCACATATTTCATTTAACTCACAGAAACAACATATTTAGGGAAGCAAGGTCAATAGCTCCATTCTTGCCAGCCTTCTCCGGTGTAAAGTGGCCAGATGCAGCTCTTTTTTCAATGAGAAATGCACGCTTCTGGAAAAACAGCGCCGTGGCAATTTGGCCTTGGGCAGTATTCGCCCACGGTACTGCAGGACTCCTTTGCAGGTGATAGCCTGAGGAAGACGTACTGGAAGCAGCAAGAGAAATTTTGCCAGTGTTTGCTTAGCCTTGCTGCCTGCTATCCTGGAGCTATTGCACCGGGGTTTGCATCACACGCCAAGACCCCGTGAGAATGATGCTTCCAGATCAGCTCCGAGTGTGGGTGGATCCTGCCCCAGGACATTTTTTTTTGCCTGCTTGGACTAGAATTAACTTCCTGGAGAGCCTACTTGCCTCGCTAGTAAATCCTGCACACCAAGGACAAGGCTCAAATAAATGTTATGAGGACTGCAGGCATGCCCAGGCAATCAGTTTAGTAGCAGTGACATTTCTGGGGCATTTTTGGAGTAGAGCACACCGGAGAAATAATTAACTTTCTGTTATTTATGATAAAGTCAAGCATTCGATGCGAGCGGAACAAGTGAGGCGGCTATGACTGACAGCCTTCCATTACCGCAAGCTGCAGACGCGTTTGTAAAGCTGCTGGGCAGGAGGGAGCCGCTATGTTGGGTTTGTCAGGCAGGTGTCATTAGATACCGCTGCTGTGTAGTCAGAGATCTGGGATTTTAGGATTTGCAGCGGGGGAAGGATTCTCATCGTGCAGAAATGTTGGCAGCTCTTCCTCGGCGTGCAAGACGGGCTAGTGTGGCAGGGGCTGCCTGACCGCCTGACCACGATGTATGCATGCACACGGTTAAAATAAAGTATGCTTCTTTCCTCATTCTCCTTAGAGCAATAAAATACTCTATTTTCCTGAGTTGGAAAGTTTGAAAACTACCTATTTCCAGAAATCCTGGAAATAAGTAACTTGTCAAAAAATATCACACGGAAATAGAAAAAAAAACCCTGAGGATATCTATACTAAAGCATTTACATGGGAGGAGTACCTAGACTGAATGACGTGATATTTTCCAGGATTCCCAGGGTGATAAATAATGAAAACACAAGTCAGCACAATAAAGCATCTCCCAGCTAGCATCTGAGAAAAACAGGATAAAAACAAACGGATAAACACAGAGATGCTAAGCACAGGAGGTTGCTGCTGGGCCTTTGTAGCTATTGGTTGCACCAGTGCAAATGACCGTGTGGAGGGAATGTTTTAGCACCGCGCTGGGTCAGCCCAAGTACTGAAATCACCAAGCATTTTTGGAGGGTGCTTTGCACCACAAGGAACGCGTTGGAAATCAGACATTTGGAGCAGACCAGTGCAAGGAACCCGACTTGAGCCTGTTCTTAGAGGGGCCAGTAATCAGATCTGCACCCAACAACCAGCCTCGTTCTTGATTCCTCTTCGGGAACACGGCACAGATCTGTGCACCCCGTTTTCAAAATGCCTTGTAGCAAATGTAGAGGCCTAAAAACGTTATTAGAGACTACTTTCTGTCACCTTATATTCTAAAGCCATTTGCTCTGTTTACCATGAGTCCCTCTGCACAATGCTTGGGAAAAAAAAAAACCTATAAAAGGTATAAAAATGACCTAAAAAGCTTTTCGGTATTTCAGAATTAAACATTGAAATCTAACAACTTGGGCTTATGCAGAACTGGATCTTTTTGGGCAGCCAGTACGTCCTGGGGAATAGAGCGAGGGATGGCCCAGGTGGTCCAAAGCAGTTTATTACTGACACGTGTCTGCAGCGTGGGTGTGCAAAAATCTGTGTCAAACCATGGCGTGAAACACGTGGTTGAAATTTCTTCCCCAACTGCCTTTCTTGAGCTGCATTTCCATTCAGTTTTCATATATAAAACTGCAGGTTGCTGGGGTTCGCTCGTCGGCTCCTGGTGCAGCTGAGCAGCCGGTGAGCACAGGTTTGCTAGCGACCCTGGGGACCGGCGTGAGCCGCTCTGCTATTGCAAGCGCACAGCAGCTCGTTGCAAGTGATTCAGAGCAGAGTCCGGGCCAAGAGTTGCCCAGCATCTAATTTAACAGCGCTTTTTCACATCTGTGGGAATACAGGGAGGCTGACATCACTTCTCATTTTCAAGAAAAAAAATTTTGCAGCATGCTGATTGTTGTTTTTCTAATGTTTGCAAACATATCTGTGAAGCAGCAGTGGTTGAAGGGTCCCTGAGTTCATACCAAGGCACAAACGGTGGGGTGTGCAGCCCCTGCTGACAGCGGATACCGTTTCAGAGACAAATCACTTCTCCGACTATGGGCAGAAAAGTCCTCTCGCTCTCCGGATTCACAAGCTTGCTGGACATTTAAAGGGAAATGCCTGAATTTGTCACCTCTTTATAACAAATTATGTACTCAGTTACATCAACTACTGTAAAAATTTAGTTGAGACCATGTGATAATGTTTTTTACTATATCAATTGAACTTGACAAAATATGCAGCTTACTAGGACCCGAACATAGAGGACAGGGACTGAGATCTGGCCATATGAGATGTTAGGAGCTAAACTCAGTAATTATCTAGAAAATACCCCCTAAGAAATGATGCTTTGGGTTCTACAGGCAAGGAAAGCCCCATTACTTCCAGTGTTTCACCCATGCTTGCAAAAGTTGCAAGAATTGTTTAATAGGCTGCAGTGGTTTACACTCCAAGTGCTGAAGATTCATAATCCGCCTGAAGATTTCTGATGAAAATCCTGAATACCTCCAGCGCCCAGAAGGTTACCAAGAAAGGACCAAAATGCTTCTCCTTGCCACAGAAGATATGAGAAGGCCAAGGGTGAATACGGAAAATATTTGTTTTCTCCGTTGATAATTAATGCCCTTGATAATGAACTATCAATCAGAGTTACCATTAAAAAGGCAATTTCAGGCAGGCAGCTTTTTGAACAGCGTGTGGAACCGTAACGCTAGGGAATGCTGCTTAATTGCAGAGCCATAACAACATCCTTGTTTCAGCGGTCTTAAAAAGTAAGTCTTAGTTCAGTAACCTTTAAGATTTGTTATTCTTTGCCTTGTCATTGAATTGTAACATCATCTGGGTGGTTATCTCTAAGAGGTTTAAATTTCCAATCTATTAAAGTAATTTTAGCAATCTATTATTTCTAGACCATTGAGGAAAGGTTAACATGAAAATTATAGTAGAGGGAATAAGTTTTGTTCCAAGTACAGGTTGCAAACATCTCAGTAGTAGAAAGCAGCTAGGTTGAGGGGAAGAAGTGCTTATCAAGGGAAATGAAATGATTGATAACTATTGATTAAAGCCGCGTGAGTGCAGTAACGTGAAAAGGGTTTTTTTCCCCGCTAATGTAACAGAGAATTTGCAATGCATGATTTAGGCAGCTTCTACTTCTGAGCTGCTTTTGTAAGACGGAATTAGACTTTCAGCACTGTATTTACAGAAATGGAAAATTTCATTTTCAGGAGCACGCAGGAAGACTGAGATCCATCTCTGCACAGCCATCCACCCAATTTAAATGAAGTTACTTGGCGCAGGAGAAGCAATGAATACAAATACCTGGGAACAGGAGGGAAGCCAGGTGAGCCTCGGCGTTCAGACCTCATGGATCACAGCTAGATGAATTACCCTCACAACTTTATATCGGAGTAGCTATGACGGACACAGGCAACACTGCATGCTAGCCAAGCTGAGCGTCAGTCACTTGTGGCTTATTGACTGACGGATAAGCGTATGCCTGTTATAGCACTGCTGTTTTAAAAACAGTAGTGTGGAGGCAATAGATGGGTCCCAAAACTGTGAAATCTCTTCCCCAGTGCCCTCGAAAGGTAGCTTTTTAGATGAGAGATTTTGGGGGCTGTGAGAGAAGGCAAAATGCAAGAGTTCTTGATAGACTAGCAAGCTCTGCATGGAGCTCAGTAGTTCCTGAGCTACTCGCCCAGGAAAAGGGCAATTTCTTCCCGGAATGGGGAACTGCCTCAAGCAGGAGGCTGTCACGCACATCTGCATGTGCTGGGTCTCCAGCGAAGGTACCAGCAGGCACAATTTCCACAACAGTTTTAGGGGTCCACATCTTTCCTGTTCCCAGGGAAAATGCTAAGGACCTCTTGGTCACTTCTTGTGGCTTCGGTTCCTCCTCCAGACGCACGCCATGGCCATCGTCCCTGCTGTTGTTCACGTGCATCTGGGCTCCAGCTGTGCTCCTGCTTGTGAGACTCATCTGTGGGAACAGAAACCATTTGTACCTGTCGGTGTAGAAACAGCAGCAGCAAAAAAAGTTGAAAAAGCAGCCCTTAATGCTAGCTGTGTTTATTTTTTAATACAACAGCAGCAGTTAGTTTTATTAATTTTTACAACACTATGGGGAAATTTAATAGGCCTATAAAAGCCAGTTGAAAACCTCTCTAATTGTCTTATCTCTTTAAATAAATGCATACTCTGGGAATTCTAAAAATGGAGACTATCAGCTGGATAGGGCCATTACTGTGAATAATTTCTCTCTTAAAAAATACTGAGTCCTCACACAATAGACAATAGCCCTCACGATTTGTTTTGGAGTGAATTCGCCAAGGCTCACTAAAAGGAGTGTTTTGTTCATTGATCCTAGTCTGCTAAGGGCTCCTTCTGAGCTGCCACAAGCGTGGAGTAAATTGCAAGGCACCAAGGATTCTTGTCAGATGTGTGACTGCACAGGGAGTTGTTTAAAAACAAATAATTTGGTCATTTAATGTATTTTCACATAATAAAACCGCTTAGTCTGTGGTATGGCTGAATGGCTCGTTCAGTAACAGGAGCCACCAGGCTGGAGCTGAGCCTCAAGGAGGTGGCGATACATTAAGTGCTAAAATAGGGGACACGGGGGGAAAATTCAGACGTAAACATGAACGTACGCTCTGCGTATGCCTACTTTGGCTATCTTTCCAGCATCTCTCTTCATTCTCACTTAAAGAAATCAATTTCCAAGGTAGTTATAGTTGCAAAGACAAATCTCTTCTCCCTAAGCCGTATAGATGGGGCATCAGAGACTGTAAGGATCTCATGCCGACTCAGTAACTGCTAGGACGGGCCAGTCAGCACCTCTGCGTGTCCTGAAAAGCTTCACTATATGTTCATACAACAGCTTGATAAACCGTGATTTTTAAAAAATGAAGTAGCGTATGTCACAGATATTTCTCTCATAGGTCACGCTCACATCCAGTTACTCTTAATCCTAACTTCCAATAATGTTTTTCACGGCTGAATATTTTCTGAGGAGAACAACGTTTTAGCGACAGGGACTGTAATGAGGAGGTTTGCCTCCAGCGCTCGTCTGCACTACTGACAAAAGCTGTAAGGCGGATATGTTTTCTGCTCTTATGCATGAGGAAGAAAGAAAAAAGGATGAGAATGACAGCTCTTGAACAGCGTTTCTGTCTTTCTTCGATAGATCAAGTGGCTTCATGGGTGAGCAAGCTTCTGCCTGCCTGGTTTGGGCGGAAAATGCATAGGAGGGTGTTAGATGGTGCTGGCTCTACTAGCTGCTGGTACTTCCAACGGATGTCTCAGGACATCTGCCTGAAGTATTTGCTCATCCTGCTTTGTGCAACCACCCAAGCCTGTGGCTACGTTTCATCAGCTTTCAAGCTTGTGACTCTGTGCGGTGGCTCAGTGCTACGGATGGGGAGCTGAAAGGCTCACGGCAAGGATATATAGGAAATATATATTTTATATACATGCATACACACATATATATAAACACCATCTGTGGCATTTCCTCCTGTTTATGTCTGCTGTGTCTCAGCAGACTGACAACCATTCTATGTGTCAATGTGGGGCCTCTGCAGTTGATGAACTTTTTTTTTTTTTTTAATAGTCCTGACTCACATAGTAGAGCAGCAGGAAAGCCATTTCCAATCACAGGGCTATTTCTGAAAGTGTGCTTGACACCTGGGCTGAAATCTTGTCTAGGAGAGAAAGTTGTAGGTGGCAGCGGAGTACATGATACCCCAAGGCGGGCGTCCTGATGAGTTTCCGACAGAGAAGCTTGGGTGATAATTCATCCTGCAGCTCGAGAAGGACTCTGTGCATCTCTTCCAGATAATTGAACCTTAATTTATTTAAATTTAATGGAAAACCATATGGAGAGGAGCTGAAAGCTAATTTAAAGCAGTGCTCAAAGCAATCAATATGTTAAGAGATTCCTTCAACTTTTCACACTTGGTTGCTGAAAAGTCTTAAAAATGTATGGCTTTTTACAGGTATTATGAAAACACAGAGTTTCTGGCATGTTGCATTCAATACTCAAGAGCCAAAAAGAGCCTCTGTTGTGAAAACGAAAATGTACTTTGAAAGCACAAGTCATCTTATTAGAGGTGAAAATGACAACTAACCTATCTTTTACAACACAATGCATATCTCTGTAGTCCTCTAGGATGCCCTGTATAAAATCCTAAAGGGTTCAAGTTGCTGGCCTTCATTTGGCCCAGAAACAAAAGCAATGAAATAGTTCCATGAGTTGCATTAACAGATTGAAATTGGCAGTCAGAGTACAGCCACAAGTCTTGGAATGTGAATGGAGTAAATACAGATTAGAGCAGGAGAATGCAGAATTATTAATTATATGAACACAGTATATGAACGTCAAAGATGAGAAAACTTTAATCAATTTTCATATTTTCCTTATTCCTTTGGTACACCTCAAGGTCAATTCCTTCCATGATGAGTTTTTTGAAAATAAGATTCTCAGCAGCAGGATATCTAATGCTAAGCTTCTGCTCCTAGATGTTGATCTTGTAATGCTGGTGCTCTTCTGTCTCATGTTCAAATGCATTGACTTTTTTCCTCACAGCAAGGTACAAATTGATTTGATTTTGTTGCATATTAAACAAACTGCAGACAACTTAAGATCCTAGCAAGTAATCAAATTTCTAACTATATTTTCTTATAAAAATAGAATTTTTAGTGATATCAGTTTAGTCTAGCTAATCTGTGAGCTTTATATATACAGTTTGTAATTTACATTGTGGTTTCATCTGTGTCAGGCTTGAAAAGGATAAACTGTAAAAATAAGTGAAAGCCTGTACTTTTCTAAAGATTAATAACTTGGGATCGTTGAGAGGGTTGGAAACAGAAAAGAGCAGATACTCCCTGCAATGAACTTTTAGCAACCCATGCAAAGTCTTATGGAAATTCTATAAATAGTGCAGAGTCTAACCTCATTGAGGGCAGGCCGGACTTGTCTGTGGCTTTTTAAAAAGCAAATTCTAAGAAGCTTTTTAAAAGTTATTTTTTGTAAGCAAATGATCCTGCAACCTTCTGAGGCCTGGAATTCATTTCAGATTTGCCAAGCCCTCTTTTCCTGAAACTTATTACCACTGCAGTATAGCTCTGCAGAGATTAATAGCTCAAAAAAAAAAAAAAGATGTCGAAAGGAGTATTGTTTTTGATTCTATGAGACTATGTTTCTTCTCTTTATTTGTGAGTTTTCACCCTGGAATGGTTCTGTCTTGGGACAGTCTTGACTACAGAGCACCAGATAATTAAAATTCTGAGGTCCTGCAAGTGCTGCTTATTTCTTGCAAGATCAATATAGTAGTAAACTTCCTGGATGCCAGGTGAAAATGAAAAACTCTTAAATAAAATGCATCATAAAATTGATATAATTAAAACATTTGTCTTTCAGTTGCTGGTTATCTGCAAATAACTTCATTTATTGAGGAATGTAGAGGAGATGGAAATTATACTTTCTAAGAGGATTTTAAGGCCCTATTAAAAAAACCATTATGATCAGTACAGAAAGACTAAAAGCCCCAAAAGGCAGACATACCAGAGGAAGAGGACAAGGCAATAGCGATGTCCTTGGCTCCCTGCAGTAGTAGAGCATCCTGTTCGATACCCAGCGTGGAGCTCTCTCCCGAGCAGCCCTGCCAGGCCAAGCTGCAGGGAGGATCCCTCCTGGTCTCACACCCAACAACTGGGATAGCTCTGAACGCCGGAGCAGTCTGCACTAACTGAGTCCAAAAAGACCTGTGAAAACAAGCGAGGGCATCGTCGCACCTCTGCCAACAGCCCAGCCCCAACTACAACTAGTCTCTGCAGATCTGGAAGAAGGCAAGCAAAAACCCTCCTAGTCAAAAAGCCCTCCCAGTCTCTCAAGCAACCAGTAGGTCTGAAGCACAGGAGTAGTTAATAGTATAAACAGGGTGCAATCAAAATTCCTGCAAATCTCCTTTCACCCTTTCTGTGGGAACCCCACTCAAACTCTCAGATTGCAACCTTTAATTTCTGATTTCAGAATTCCTTCTGCTCTGTCACCAAATCCCACCCATACAGCTGCAAATATCCATCTCAAAACAGTGTAGGTTTCTTCTCTCATCACTGTGTTTGATGGAGGATTTCAGAAATTCAGTGCAGTGATTAGGAACCTTCTAATTTCACACCTAAATGTATTCCTGACCTATATATATCCATTTGATCTTGTTCTACCCTTCTACTCAGCTAATTCTTCTGGTTAACCCCAGATGATTATCATAGAAAATTACCATATCCTTCTGGGCCTTTATTCTCCTGGCTCTCTTCATAAGCCTGAGCAGCTGAGCTGGT